CCCGGGGGCTGCGGGCGGGGGTCCCGGAGGGAGGCGCTGGGGATCTCACCGCTTCCAGGGAACAGGCGTCTGTCTACGCGCACAGGAAGCCCTGGCTCCCCGCTGCGCAGACCGTGCCTCGGTTCCCCCCTCAGTGGAAAGGGAAGGATCGCAGAACCGCAGGAAAGGACAGAGGCGGCATCTCCACGTGGAGGGAGGAGGGCAGGGGCTCCCACTGCTTTTAGGGGAGGGCAGGCACAGCCCCGCTGGGGGGCGGTGGGTCGGGGTCCCCAGCACCATCTCCGGGTTCGGTGGCCCACTCGGAGGACTCAGGCCTCGGCACACAGTCACGCTCACGCCCGGATTCATCACGGCGGCGGAAGGACACCGCACAGTTAGCCGGGGAATCAGCCGGCTTCCAGACCGCTCTCCCGGGGCAGCCACACGGGCACGCGCGTCCCCCAGCAGAGAGAGGGGCCGGGAAGCTCATCAGAGGCGCGGCGCCCAGGGTTTTATTGGGGGCAGGTCCCCAGTCAGCACCCCCTGCCCGGAACATGCCCACGTCCCAGCTCCCAAGGGAACGCAGATGCCAGCAGAAGCCCCGTTGTTTGGGAGAGTTTAGGCTCAGGGACCCCCGCCCAAAACCCAGGCTCCGGGACACCAGCCAGGGGCAGCCGCAGGCGCGCAGGGGCCTCAGGCCTGCTGTGTCCGCCCGGTTCTGTGTCAGGCCTGCACGCGCTGCGGGAATTTGCAAGCTAAAACACGGGCCCCGAGTGCAGATGGAACAAAGCGCTGAGCTGGGCTCCAGACCAGCTCTGCTGTTTTGAGGCTGTTGGGACCCTGGGCACGTGATGAGACCTCTCCGTGCCTCAGTTTCCCCTCCAGAAGGGGAAGGATCACAGAACCTGCCCCAGAAGGGTTTAGAGAACAGATGGGTCAGATTCTCAGCACTGCGCCCACCACATGGTAAGCAGTCGATGAGGTCTAGTTATTAAAAGTAAATTAATATTATTTTAATCCTCACCTGAGGGTATGTTTTTATTGATTTTGAGAGAGAGAGAGAGAGAGAGAGAGAGAAACATTGATCAGTTGCCACCTGGACAGGAAAAGCCCCATCGAGGAATGAAACCCACAACCTAGGCATGTGCCCTGACCAGGAATCGAACCCAAAACCTTCTGGTTCGTGAGACGACGCTCCAACTAATTGAGCCACCCAGCCAGGACTTGATGTTAATATTCCTGATGCATAATCATTCATCATCATTTTAACGGCATTAATAAGAAACCACATCCCTGCCTGGCTGGCGTGGCTCCGTGGTTGAGCATCAACCTATGAACCAGGAGGTTACGGTTCGATTCCCAGTCTGGGTTTTGGGCTTGATCCCCAGTGATCATGCCATGTCTGTCTCTCAGCCCCTCCTCTCTGAGCCCGCGAGGCGGTGCCGTCATCACCCCGTGTAACAGGAGGGAACTGAGGCTGGGGCTCTCTGCACCCAGGGTCACATGGGTGGTGTGCGCTTCCCCCACCCTCCCTGCCCTGTGCGACCCTCCCCCCTGCGGCTCCCCGTTTCCCAGGGGTTGGTGACCCCAGGGTTTAGGTCAAAGGACAGCCTGTGTTAATGACTGTCACGCAACATACGTGCTCTGTGGTCCACGCGCAGGGGGTATAGAGGGGCGAATGAGTTATTGGGAGTTTTATTTACCCTGAGGTGTGTCGCCGATTGTTAGTATGTGAACGAGTCACATGGCTTTCCTAGAGGAGGCAGTAGCCCTGATATCCATGCAGGGAAACTGAGGCTGGGAGGGTACTGATGGCAGGAGATGTTCTTACTATAACTCGTTTACCCTCCCAGCGACTCGTTGGTGGGTGTTGTGATCAAGCCCCTTTCACAGATGAGGAAACTGAGGCACAGGGTTTCAGTGATGTGCTCAAGGCCGCTCAGCCAGTCAGTGGCAGGGCCCCCCGGGCAGGGCTGGGAAGGGCTCCACCGCCTTACGGGATAGCAGGGGGGCCGAGGGGATCAAGGGGGCCGGGCGGGGTCCCCTCAACCCTCTTCTGTGGCACCTTGACTCCTCCACCCAGATCTGCTGGAGAAGTCGCGGGCCATCCGCCAGGCCAAGGACGAGTGCAGCTTCCACATCTTCTACCAGCTGTTGGGCGGCGCCGGCGAGCAGCTCAAGGGTCCGTGTTGCTGCTGGGCCCCGGCAGGAGGCGTGGGAGGAGGCAGGGGGCCCCTGGTGCCTGTCCGGCTCCTGCCGGGCAGTGGATGTTGTGGCCTCCTGGATCCCGCGACCCCTGGCCTCACAACTTGTGCCCACATAGTCCTGCCCCCCGCACTGGCCCCCCTGCCCTCTGGCCCTGCTGCCTCCCGGGTCTTGATCTCACTGGCCCGGTGGCCACGTGGCTCCTGCTCACGCTCACGTCTCTCTGCTCACTCCAGCGGGTGTGACTCCTGCTTTGCTGTGGCTCCCGCGGCCTCTCCTCCCGTGGTCCTGGCCTGGGCGGCTTCCCGGCTCTCCTCGCTCTGCTGATGCCTGAGGTTCTCCTGCCTCTCGCTCCCATCCTCCCACCACTCCTCCCGCTCCCGCTCCTCCTGCCGGTGGCTACGACAGCGGCCCCCACTGTCCCCGCTGCCTGCGCTCCTCCTGCCGGTGGCTATGACAGCGGCCCCCACTGTCCCGGCTGCCTGCTGTCCGAGGCTCCTCTCATTCTGGCTCCTGCCCCCCTCTTGGCCCCCCTCACCCAGGCTCCCGCTCACGGTGGCTTCTGAGCCACACGCCCTCTGCTGCTGCCCCTGCCGTGGCTTCTGCTAACTCGGGGCCCCTCCGGCCCATTGCTTCTGCTGACCAGCGGCTCCTGCCTGCTCTGGGCAACCCCGGCACAGGAGACTCCCTATGGGAGGAGGGAAGACTAATGGTCTAAGACGTGCTAAGTAAGCACCCACTTTACCCCCTGTCCAAACAGGGCCCCTGAGGAAAGGCTCCTCCCTCGTTGAACCGAGGAGGAGACCGAGGGTCCCAGTGGGGAAGGGCCTGGCCTGGGGTGGCCTCCGAGGAAGCTGGGATGTGAGTCGACCTCCACTGTTCACCCTTGACCTCGGCCCCCACTCCTTCCCCTGCAGCCGACCTGCTCCTGGAGCCTTGCTCCCAGTACCGCTTCCTCACCAACGGGCCCGCGTCCTCCCCCGGCCAGGAGCGTGAGCTCTTCCAGGAGACGCTGGAGTCCCTGCGTGTCCTGGGATTCACCCACGAGGAGATCACCTGTGAGTGTGCCCTGGGCCCTCGAAGGGTGGGGG